AACAAACAATAAAATAATATAAAATAAAACTGAATATTATATATAAAATAAACTACATTATTCAACATATTAATATATTTATACAACTAATTATTCATATATTAAAAAGAAGATTTAATCATTCACGAAGTCTCTATTTTTGCGTGAAATTTTAATTTAGTCTCTTTGTTTTTGGAAATCTCAATTGGTTCCTAAATTTATTGTAAAAATTGGATCATTTCCGTTAAATTGTCTCCAACGTCGTTAGTGTGTGTTTGACATGGCACGTTGTAGTCAGGTTCTTAATTGACGTGACTGACTGAAACAGGGGCAATGAAGCACGTGGATAATAAAAATTTTTAAGTAAAAAGAAAATGAAAGTTTTAACCACAAAGATTTCATATTAACCACAAAGGCTCCCTCCAAATCATATGGGAGCTTCATATTAACCACAAAGGTTTTCCACTGTCATAATCTAAAAGGATAAGTTGCAGAATTTCTCCTATTAATTATTCAACCAAACATGCTAGCTCCAACTTCTGTACAACCTCGTTAAGACTTCAATTACTATGTCTGTTATGTATGCTTTTTCTTGCATCTGCATCATCAGCTATTTACAGTGCCCGCTTCTCCACTGATCAAACCTTTTACTCATCCGACACCAAATTTCAATCCAATCTCTTCTCTTGTTTCAAACTCCTCCCTTCCCTCCAACAGCGGTTTCCACCGAGCCTCCGTCGACGATATCGACGACCGTTTCCTCTGCCGCGGCGACGTCAACGCGACCGTCTGCCATGGTTGTGTCGTCGCAGCAACAACCAACATAACTCGCCTCTGTCCCAACGATACCGAGTCCTACATCTGGTACGACGAGTGTACGCTAATCTACTCCAACAGCACCTTCAACAATGATGACATAGTTCCCGGGATTACCCTTAACGACGAAGGAAGCACCGTTAACTCAAATTAGGACCACTTCAACCAATTACTGTCGAACTTATTAAACAGTTTGGAGGGAAAAGCTTTTGAGAGTTCCATGGGAGAGAAGAAGTTCGCCGCAGGTGCGGTGAGTGTGACAACCGCGCAAACGCTGTATGGAATGGCCGCTGCATGGCAAAGATGAACACCACCACAGACCACATTACTGTCCTGCTTCCGTCACCCGTTGCATGACGAAGACGAACATGGATGCATCTTCAACCTCAACTTCGATTAAACCCTAAATACCCAAATTGATACCCCAATTTGTGAAATGGAATGAACTTTGGATGAACCCTAGAAGTACTCAGAAGAATCCCAATCCCTAATTCGATCAAATAAAAATCTGAATCCCAATTTTGGTTTAAAACTTTCATTTTCTTTTTACTTAAAATTTTTTATTATCCACGTGCTTCACTGCCCTTGCTTCAGTCAGCGTCAGTTAAGAAACTGACTACAACGTGCCACGTCAAACACACACTAACGCCGTTGGAGACAATTTAACGGAAAGGATCCAATTGTTGCAATTTTCATAAGTTTGGGACCCAATTGAGATTTCTAGAAACAAAGGGACTAAATTGAGATTCCACGCGAAAATAGGGACTTCGTGAATGATTAAAC